TCCCTCTCCCTCTCCCTCTCCCTCTCTTTCCACACTTAATACTATTTTGCAGAGTCTGTTCTTTTAGATACAAGTACTTAAAGCTGCAGCTTCTGGGGAAATCAGTGGTAGTAAAAAAACTGCAGATGTTGAGAAACTTGAATTGTAGTAGGTTTACAGTTCTACCATGTTGGATAACACTCTGGCTTCAGCTGGTTCTCCTCTGTCTTTACCAAATCTACTCCAGAATGTTGATCTTTCTAGTCAAGAATTAGATGAAATGGCATCGGAATATAATGTAGTAAGCTTCTTGCCAACGTTAAGACTGGCCGTGGAAAAATGTGAGCATAAAGAGCAACTCCAGTGACCAGTTTTGAGTCTTGGTCTGTGTCTAGGCTACTGAATTAAACATGCCTAGAAACTTTTCTTGATGCTTAGGGCCAGCTGGCACAAAAGGGCCTGTTTGTGCCGGTGTACACTCACCCAGTAAAGCAGAGGCTGCATGCAAACTGTCTGTTGGAAGGGATCTCAAACCTTTTCACTGCTGAATAGTGCCTGAAAATTGGCTGGAAGACTTCTGGTTGAGGTGGGCCAAAAGCATGCCGGTGAATATTTTAACAAATTACTGGTTGCCTGTCTCAGTGATGGAGAACACTTCCTGACCCTGCATTGCTTTTCTTCTAATTTTTTTTTTCCTGCCTGTTGAGAGACTGGTCAAAGAAAATAATAAGCAGGAGGGAGAAGAGACACTTTTAAGCTTCTTTGTCAAAACTATGGTAGCTCTTAGAGCAGCCCTGCCTCACTTAGTCTGGTTTATTGCTGGCCCATATCTCTAGAGTAATGTAGGAGGAGCAGATGGAGCCTAGGAGGAATGTTGAGAAAGTTTCAGATGTCCTGTTGGCTTATAAGAATCACATGATTTTGCTGAGAGGTCTCAAAAGGTTCTTCTGGTTTTAAAAAGAGTCTGTCAAATGCTATACCAATTTGAGCTTTTTTTTTTTGTTGTGGGAAAAGTTTCATGTTGTGATGATAGCTTATAATAAAGGGAGGAGTTGTTTCAGGAGCACAGTGTGAAAGAATGTTTAAAGGAGATAAGGAATTGACTTATCTAACATTTCAACAATGTACAGGAAGAGAACCATAGGTTTGGTAGACCCTCCCAATTTAGAAGAAATTCATAAAGATAGTGTTTTAATGTACAGTCACTTTTGGTTTGCATTGCTCTGGTGGAGAATGCTTTATTTTACTAAATGTTTTTGTCAACTACAAACCACTGTCTGCTTACAGTATTTACTAAGTGGGTAGTAAGCACAGGTTTCATAGTCTATTCTTAAAACTTTCTAAATGTCAGCCCCAGTGCCCTCAGTCTTTTGTAGTTTAATTTTTTCACGTACACTTTTATCTGTTTTTCTTGCAGAGGATGACAAATAGCAGCAGCTCCCCTAGCCTTCTCAATGACAGTGCCAAGCAGTATGCAGGCCATGGTAAGTATTTTTAAAGTAATACACGTAATAGTATGTTTGGAAATTTTAAGAGGTTTATTTTTGCAAAACAGACTTGAAGGAGAGTTTGGTTTTGGTTTGGTTTTTTTTTTTCTGTCCTCTCATTTGATTTGAGATGCAGTAGAACCTTAGTTTTTAACAGTAGCATATTGTGTGATTACTTTTAGTACAAAGCTGAAGTGCCACTGAATTCAAATTTTCAACCTTCTCTTTGCTCTAGAGAGGAAAAACTAAAAGAAGTCATTATGGGTCTTGTCACTTCAAGTCTAAATGCATGTTTGGATATCCACTCAAAAGCACTGATAGCTTAAGCATTTTTTGTTGCTCTGCAGTAGTATCCCTTTTTTATTGTGCTTTTTAAGTAAGTTATTATGTGGAATGAATGTACAGGGTTTTATTCTTAAATTTAGAATGTATGAGTATTGTGAAATGGTCACGTAATAGCTATTAAAAATCATCAGTTCAGATTTGTCTTGTAAGCAGTACTTTCCTTTTTTTTTTTTTTCCCCTGCTATAGGGAACATGATTTTTAACTGAACAAAATGTCTCTGTAGTGCAGGCCTACATACTCATTAAATTGTTGTGGATGGAATATTGAACTTGTAATGCGTTTTTCAGAATCACTGCAGATTATTTCAGCTGTAGCTGTCAAACTAAGCTCTTTAAAGGAGAGGTTACTACTCCTTTATGGCAATGACATACATTCAAAGTACGTTTCTCCTCTCAAAATTGCTGTGTAAATGGTATTCTAGAACTGCATTTCCATGTCTGACCATGCAACTAGTCTGCTTACTAGGGTTATAGTTTTTTAAGCATGATAGTAACTACTATAAAATTAACTTGCTTGAAAGTTGAAATTTTGTAGGTGTTGGGCTTTTTTTTCCTCTTCTTTCTCCTGGTTAATTTCCAGCAGGTTTTGTCATTAGTTCTGCTTCTCCCACCAAACAATTAGCTATTCAATGCAGTGGAGGTCTCTAGGTTTAAATGCAGTCAGAGTTTGAGTGTGACAGGCTGAACAGCGATGGTCATGCATGCGAAGGAGAGAAACCAGACTGACTTTTGGAAGCCAATTTAAATCATGTTGTGTCTCAGATCTTTTTCTTTCCCTGCTTTCCTTCCCTGCCAAGCTGTACTTCGCTTGTAGAATTACCCTTTTAAGGAATAATAATTAATATTGAAGAAAGCATTTCATCAGAGCATCAATGTTTACAGCCTGCCATGATCTGCTAGTTTGACAGCTCTACCCTGCAGTTTGGAGTTTTAAGTTACAGCTGTAGTTGTTATTCAGTTTTTGGTGCTTTAACTCTGGATAGGATGCATAGAGACAAAGAAAAAGCAATAAAAAGCTACTGACAGAATGTAGGCTTATGCTGCCTGTGTTTCTGATTTAACTTTAAGCAGAACAGTGACAGGACAAGATACATCGTTGTTACTGATTTCAGGTGGCTGTAGGTGAAAGCTTTGAAATGTTAGATGGACATTAAGTAGTGTCAACAGCAACTAAACTTACTAAATTCTGCTTATGAGCACAGTTTCAATTGAATGATTGCACAGAATCTAGTAAATGTTGCAATTTTTTTAGCAGTGATTCCTAAACTTAATTTTGTCAAAAGGATTTTTTCCGTACAAAAATAAGTTAAAAAAAAATGGAAAATTTCTTTTTAATATTAGAGATATATGACACGTTGGTTTGCATTCTTTTTACAGATCCACTAACTTCACCAAATTCATCCTTGTTTAATGACTTTGCTGCCCTCAGCGTGTCTCAGAGGAGGAAGGTAGGCAGCAACTAAATCTTAAGTAGCATGTTTGTGTATGAGTTGACCGAGAAGAAGATCTGGAATAACTTGAAGTGCTAGGTGAAATAAGGATGATTCTTCTAATGTTACTAGCTTTATTTTAATATGTTGCTGCTGATATAAATAAGATCTTACCACTTCATTTTTGCTATACCAGATCAGACTGCTGCTATTATTAAGAAATAGCCCAACCACTTGTAAAATAGAGTTTATAAGAAGACTTTGAATATGAAAATTAGGACATGGCACATTAAATTTGAAAATAAACTATTTTTATTGTACTGAGACACAAGCCACTTGCATGCCTTCATGGCAACCAGTTCCAAATACATTAATCTCCCTGTTTTTTTTGTACAGGATATGAAAATAATTCTGTTTGAAATGCATTTAGCTTGAAAGACACTCTGTGGTATTATTAGGAAGCTCAGGTTTGGGATATTTTCCTCCCCTAATCTGTATTGAGAAATCTTTCTTTTGCTAAGGGCTAGACAGCATCTTCAAACACCTTTGACTTGTGCCAACACAATATGTTGGTTTCTTTCCAGTTATACATTTACAAATGCAATGGTTGGAATAAGAGACAGAAGTTTAGTTATGCCGGAGTTTTTGTGAACTGTGGCTTATCAAAAAGGACATTAACTTGTCCCAACCAGTTATCATGTTCTACGTTCGCTGCTGACTTTCATGTTTTACACTTTTTTCTTATTGGCCACATCATCCTGAACTTTCCTGTAGTTGATAACACATTGTGTGGCAAGCAAGCTGCATCAGTCTGCTTGTCACCTCTCATAGAGCTCTGTTCGTGTGGGGGCAACTGGGAGCTCTCTCATTCCTGCAGGTGAAGGTTGTGCTTAGAGATAATTACTGTAGTTGGCCCATCAGACTAATGTTCCTTGAAATGAAATGCTGTTGTAGAATGTTAATTTCCTAATGTTATGATATATCCAACCTACATGAGATCTCTGAATTGCTGTTTTCCTTAATGCCAGTATAGTGCACTGGAAGTCGGATATAAACAACTATAAATGTGTTGTTTATCCAGTTACTGAGAACAGTAAGAATGAAAATAAGCATAAGTTCCCTTTTTAATACAGTCTGCATGAACTGTATATTTACACGTATATGTGAGTTCATGCATATGTATATAAACCACGTACATGGAACAAAAGGAACTGTCGTACAGAAGTATTGCTGGAGTGACCATTGCCTCTAAAAAATACTTCCAAGTTAATTAAGCAGGACAAAATGAAAACAAAGCAATTAATGTTTAAGTGTAAAGCTCAAATAACTCAAAGCTCAAATATTAGAGTCTTTTCTGACTTTGTCCTTTTTTTCCTCAAGAAAAAAATCAGCAAATTAAGCCACTCACTACTGAAAATTGACTGATTTGGATTTTTTCCAATTAATATTTCAGACATAACTGGCATTAATTGGAAGAGGTTTGTGTTTTAATAATGTTTATTATGACTGCTGTTTTGTAATGTATGTGTGTATAAAAGCTTAAGTAATACTAGCAATGGGGACTTTTTCATCTAGTATTACTTGAGCTGTCTAAAATCTAGGCATCCAGGCTCCCTCTATAGTCAGAAAAGAGAGATGAGCAGCTTTAAAGGAACATTCAGCTCACATTGAGAAAAGTATTTTGGAGAAGACCAGGTGTCAATGACTGCTTTAAAGTGGATAAAAATTGATGTCTGCAATTATGAGAAATTATTCAGGCTTTTGTGGCTGACTGACTGACTTTTACTAACAGACAATACATTGCAGATAACCATGGATATAGTTTCTTAGTATTTTTAGTATTTTTTTGACTACAATATTTGATTTGTATTAAGTGGTTTCCTCAAAACCACTAAATGCTTGAGTGCTGGGCGTTTAAAAGCTTGTGTGATTTCCTCCCACCCCAATAGCTGGATTTTATTTGGAGCTTGAGCAATGTGACTGGTCAGGCCAGTGCTTGGTGCCTGCTGTAACACAAGATAGCCTTCTGGAAGTGTGTGTTTCTGTTCATAGACTCTAAAGGGAGCCTTGGTGACTAGCTCAAACGTAGGTGTCCACAACATCTACTATTTGAAAGAAAAAATACTTTCAATTTTCTTGCAAAGAGCCCAGGGCTAAAGTTTTGTTTGTTTTGAACTAGCTGGCAAAACCAGCATTTCCTTCGTTTGTCACCGACTTGGAGGACAGATATAATACAGTCTTGGTAAGTGAATAAAGAGCAATCACTTTCCTTTACAAGTTAGAGTTGTGATATTTTAAATATTAACAGCTATTAAGTTATCTGCAACTATGTAAAAACTATGTGTTTGTGTTACGTAAAACTGTGAAGAGTTTCTGTAAAAGCATGTAGTATGTAGGTGCGTTAAGCAAGGAAATTAAGTTTATTAATCTTTATTGTGAGTGGATCTTGCTGATCATGTTACCCTGGCAGCCCATTGTCAATGGGACAGCCATACTAACCTAAATAATTGATACCAATAAAATACTAAGGGTAAGTCTTGATGATTGCAGTTCTGAATATCCTTATGTTTTGATTAGACAGCTTTTTGGAAGCTAGTTAGCATGACTGGGCTATTTAAGTTGCTTATGATTATTTTGATGTTTAAAGATGCTCTACTTTTTGTTTAAAAAGTGAACTTAGTCCTTGAATTTTTATGAACGTTCTTGAGGTTATTTTCTCTGTTTAGAAATTATTAAACTGCATTTCAATTTTAGATTTCAGGAAAGCTAAGTTTACTATTTAAAGACATTTTTATAGGATACTTAAAATGAAATCAAAGGAGCTAAGTATTTCTGTAGATGGAGCCTTGGTGGAGGTTCTGTCAACTGTAAAACCTTCTGGATTTACTGTCCGGTTGTTGTAACTCCACATGCACTAAGACAAGCAACCTTAAAGTGAATTTCCTATAAGAGATTTTCAGGTAAGTATTAATCTACAATGCACAAATAGGATTTGTGAAGCATGGAACAAAAGCTAGTTAGCAATAGACTAACCTTTTTTCCTGAGAGTAATGATATCACACTTTGTGTTTTTCTTCAAATACATGTTATGCTTGTTAAAAAAAGGGTGACATTCTGAACTTGAACTTCTTAAGTGTTTTTTCTAAATTGGCTTTAGCCATTATTATCTAGAAAAATATTCATCTCTGAAACCTGAAATAATCTGGCTGGAAAACGCCTTGTATTCATTTTGATGGTTCTGGTAAACAGTTCATAAAATCTGGTGCAATGTAACTGATCAGAATCTACTGCCAAGGGAATGATGGCTTAATGCAGTAAAAAGAAAATAGATGATGAAACTTTGATTAAATTTGTTTTGAGACTGTTGCCACCAATCCAGGCTAAAGGGTTCCGTCTCTGTCACTGGTCAGCCTTACAGGATAGTGAAAACATTGCTTTTACATTTTACTTTGGTTTTTTTCATACCTTCAATCCTCATGAAAACTGAACTCTTCTGAAAAGTTCCTAACATTGGTTTATTTCCATTCCATTTTTTTTGTTTTAAATTGTTCAGTCACACCTAGAGGAGGGCTGTTAAGGTGAGAACCACTGTTAGTCCACAGTCTGCAAGAAGTGAACTAACTGCTGTAGGGAACAACTTTCAGTACAATTTTAATGCTATTTTGTGTGAAGAATTCTATTTTTTTTTTCAGCACTCCTTCCATTAGTGTTAGGTGAGTAAGAGCCAGGACCAAAAGACTCTAGATTAGATTAGAATGGAAAATATAGGATAGGTTATTTGGACCGAAGTTCACCCGGAACAGGTGCTGCTGTTTAGCGCTCTCCGTGGAGTTCTACAACAAGTGAGAGACTGGACAGCAGAATTCTTTAGTTCATATACTTTGATCAGGAGTAATAAATGTGCAGAGAAAACTGTTTTAAAACAAAAGACTGCCTATAAGCCTAGTCTGCATAAATACAAGCTTTTTGAAGAGTTTCCCCTCTCATGTTCAAAGAAAGCAAACTTCAGGTCCTGTGGAAACCAAATTCTTAAGACCTAAACTATTGTTAGTTCATTTTTGAGTGTCCCATGCTCCATCTGGTTTTGTAACCTGTTGAGAAGCTACATTTCTCTCCAGGTTTCCATCTCCAGCTCTGTCTTGACACTTCAGATATTTGATCTTTATCTAGTGGCCATTGAAAAGTCATGTGCCATATTTGGTCTTGCTTTATTTAATCTTTAAGAAAAATGTGCTGAGACACATTTTCCTGTGTTTCATAGCCTCCTGAATTCCATCTCAGGAGTATGAATCACATTCTCAGAAGTTGAGGGGTCATTATGAAATACTGTGCCTCATCACTGTGTTGTAAAAGTGCAGAATTATGGCTGCGCAGACCTTATACCTGGACTAAATTTATATTTCAAACCTGAAGTTCTTCTTCTGAGATTATACACACCTACTGCAATGATAAAACATTACAGTTTTGTAAACTGTAATGTTGATGCAAAAAAAACCCCCTACAAAACCAAAAAGCTGCTGCAGAAATGTAGAAAGACAGACTGACAGACTATACTTCAAGAGAAAACTTATAAATGTTGCAGATAGTATGAAGTTTACCTTAGTCTAAAATGTGTTTTAAGGGTATTATATCATCTGACCCCCTTTACATTTTTCTTTAGAATAGTTAGTTATTGGAACTGTTACGTAGTTGTGTGCTCTTATTATCTTAGTAATTACTACACAGTATGATTTTTTTCATTTTTAAGTGTGACCTGAGATAATATATTGCTCGCACTCACTTTCACGTATGGATTAGTCTTCACTGTGTTAAGTAAGAAATCAAATTATTTAAGGACTTCATTTAGAAATATGTAACATTTTTTACATTGATGAAGAATTGTCTTTATTTTTGTGTCTTTAGACTGTTCTGTATTGGAGGGAAAAGAACAGGATAAGATGATTGCATAGCACAGCACTTACCTTAAGATTGCATTAAAAAGACCTTTGATTGTCTTGTGTCTAAGCAGATCAGATGTATGTTATAACCTACAGATGTCTAAAAACTTTAAATACTACCCTCGCTCTTCGTGTGTTGCCTGATCTAGTTGAGAGGCGTCCCTGCCCACGACAGGGAGGTTGGATTAGATGATCTCTAAGGTCCCTTCCAGCCTAGGCCATTCTGTGATTTCTAAAACAACTTCTCAGCCATGTAGACTTTGCCAGGTGCATCTTACAAGCTGAAACAGTTAACTACAAATGTGCAGAATGCTTTTGCTCGTATTTACAAGCCTTATTTGATTCTTTCTATGCCAGAGTGTATGTAGTCTTTAGGAGTGAACAACAGTAAAATTGAAACACTTTAAAAAATTTGTGCACGCATCTGTTGGTAACGCTATACTATTTAAAGCAGCTAGAAAATTTACTGGTTTTGAGGAGTTGTGCTTTGTAAAGACCAGAGTAAAAGTTGCATCAGTCCTTAGTTCCCTTTTGCCCATATTTTTTTATTCTTAACTGTGCATTATTTTTCCACTGTTCTTTATAAATACTGAAAAAATTCTGGCCTATTAGAAAAGAGACTTTAAAACATTAAAACACTTGTAGTTTGCTCACTGAGTGTTCCCTAGCAATGAAATTTTTGAAAGTACATCTTGGGGTGATGGTACTCTGGCAAGTCTGCACTGCACCATTAGAACTATCTGCTCTAATGATGGTGGAAGAAGCTTGCTTTTCCACCAACTTGTTTCATTTCAGCAGGTATTATTAGTTTTTTGGTCAAGAACTTTGTCAGTATAACTACATCTGTGCTAGATTGTAACTGTTGTGGTAATTCATACCTCGTCCAAACTAGCTAGGCTGCAAAATTGGTGAGAAAAGATTTGTCCTAAAGATCTATCTGTTCTCCGTGGTTCCTTCCGAACTCTTCAAGATTGTTATGTCTTCAGCATATATAATCGCGAAATACAATTTTTAGTAGGTACTCCTGAAAAGTAGGTACATGTGAAAAGTTTTCTAAAATTTGATTGAATCAGGAATTTCTTTTAGGAATTCCTTTTTTTTTTTTCTTTTAGTGATCAAATGTGTTACTCTGGAATAAGACTTAATTCCATGCCAAATTGCACATTCTAGTTTTCTTTGAGTAGCAGAATCTTTTTTGTCTCTGTATTATACTTTACAACTAGTGAAAATTTTAATCCCCAGCCAAACCCAGGATTTTAGGAATAATTAAAAAAAAAATTCTGGATGGAAGGAGGGCTATTCTGTAAGTGCATGTAATCTAAGTGCTTAACATTACAAATGTCACATTTATAACTGTAGCTAAATGTTAGCATACTCTTCCTTTTTCTTTAATAAAAAAGTAGGAAAAAAAAAAAGCACCGCCTGACAACAAACACCGACCAACCAAACATGCACTTAATTATTTTTAACCTGTTGACCAAGCTCTTATTTCATTTTTTATGGATATCAAAGTAAAAAAATAATTAAATTAGTTCCAACCTTGAGAAGTTGACTTAGGGAAAACAAATATTATCTGCCTCTATCAGCAAGAGGTTGTAATGAAAAAGGAGAAAGTGAGAGTATCTTGGTTAGCAACAAACCCAAACCCTCTGAAGGAGGTTGTAGCTGTGTTGGCCACAAAGCTTAAGAAGTAATGACGAGACAACTTCTCTTTTTTATATTGCCATCTTGCGAATCTGTTAGGCTACTCCTTGTGACTGTACCTAATGTTCAGGTGTAACACCTTGTAGAACTTACTACTAAATCCAGTTACGCAGCTGAATTTGCATTTAAGACACTTCTTAGCAGATTGTGCCTGTGTAGGGATTCTGCCAAGACTATTCGGCTTTCTGTCAATAACATATTGAAGTTGATACCTCTAGCTGGGTATTTCAAGTACTATCTTATTCCAACTAATTGGTTATGGCTATTGGGTGAAAATAGCAATGGTAATACCAATGGCTTGGAATTAGTTTTAGTTTTCAGACATAATACAAAAGTTGATGCTTTTTCAGTAGACTAGCACCCTAGTTGAGTGTTTAACCTCTTTTTCTGATTGTCTTGTTGCCACTGCTGTTAAAAACTGGTCTCGTAAAACAAGTCAACACTGAAACTCTGAAACTTAAAATTGCATATATGGCTTATTTTTTGTAAGAGTACAAGGAAGATATGTTGTTTACCTGATCTTTCCTGTCTGACAGTGAAATATTTATTTTCATCTCTTTATGTATGCAGATACAGTCAACTCTGTGTACAACAGATGAGC